CCACAACTTTTTAGTTTACTTGTGCCATTTATAGCAAAACCTCTGTTTTGTTTGTGTGTGTGAGTGGGGGGAGGGGGGTGGAGTGTGTGTCTGTAGACAGATGCAGCCCCCCACAGGTTTCAGCCAAGTCCTACTGAGGCGGGACATGTCTAGATCTGGCCTTCAGCTGGTAGGTCAATCCCAGCATTTCTGTGGGCTTATCTCACCCAGCCTTATCTGGTCATTTTGCATCAGTAATTCGATCAAGCAGAGGGGGTTACCACATTCCTATTAGTTCTAAACAGTGAATAGTGAAATGTAGTAATGCCTTGTCCATCACTAATACCTCACAGTCAGCCATGTTTACATAATACTGGAGAGTAGCCTGCTCTATAGCCAGAAGTAAATGGGGGCCAGGCAGGCTGCACAACCAGCTGGAGAATAAACCTTTGTGGCCCTAAATAGTCCCAATCAGGGCTAAGTGCTCAGTGTGCAGCTTCTCAGCCATGTGACAGTGATGGGCTAATTTGCTGTGACCTTGTGAAGGATGGCACCCTTGGCCCAGAGGACAGAGGAGCCTTTGTGTTTGGGGAAGGGGGGGAGTTTGCATTTGGCTGTGTAGCACGGGCCTCCATTGAGGTTTCCCACCAGGGAGCTTCTAAAAATACACCATGGGTCTCACTGGTCAGTCTCCCCTTTGGATCAAAAGTAAACATCTTGAATGGTCAAATATGCTGCGTAACAGCTATAGTACGTGACAGCTGTGCATGTTGGTCATCTGACAAAATCTTTGCTGAGGTCAGGCAAGGGTTATTAAATTCAGACACTCGGCTGGGGTCATGGCCTGACTGTGCTTAAAGCACCATATCCCAACATGTGTTTGATTTGCGTAGTGCATTTCTCCATTACTCCTCCTCCTCCTTGTCCAGGATGTGCCGTCAACCTAAATGCAGCACGGCTGGCTTTTATTTCACTTCCCAGCTGGGGTGTCTGGCCAGCGGTTCCATCCCACGGTTCTATTTGGGGAGGGAGGTGGTGGGAGGGGTGGTGGATCAGCTCAAGCTGAGAGCTGGGAAAACAGCTGTCTTTAATTTTCCATGCTGGATCGGAGCCAGGGCTGATCACCACCTGGAGCATCTCACTTTTGCGACTGTAAGCTCACAGGATTTCCAAAATGGCAACACGTGGGACCCTTGTGAGTGAAGGAAGTTTTCCTGAGTCTTCAAAATACTGCATGCAAGAATGAGTTGCCTGACTTAGGGGCTCAGAATCCAAAATGGGCCAGAGAGATCTTATAGTTCTGTAGCTTGTTGCAGCGTAGTAACTATGCAGGACCTGGCACTATAGCCTTGACAAGGTCATGAATAGGTAATCTGGCTAGCTTCTAATCATGATGTTGGGGTTTTTGTGGGTTCATCTGCAGCAGGCTGAGCCTCATGCCCCCTGAAAGCTCATAGGGTTCTGCCCTCTCAGTGCCAGAGATCGGAAGGCTGATGCTTCATGTCTTGTGGCTTGCAGAGTAATTTCACCATTGGGCCCTTGAGCAAGGCCCTTAATCCTAATCACAGCAGGAAAACTGTCTGGCCCTGCACTCTGCAGAGGGCTCCTCTCATGTCGTCACTGCTTATATATCTATGAAGGCCCCATTCAACCACCATCCACCCCAACTCTATAGATGACAAGCAGCCATGAAGATGATGACACCTTAGTGGAAATGGGAGGGGCCTAAGGTCCCTATGTTGGGGGGGCTTATTAGGGGGGCAGAAGCCAACCTCAGAAAGACGACTTTTAACCACATTCACCATCTGAAAGGAATTAGTATGTCTGTCTGAGCATCAGATCAGGGCTCCAGATGGGGAAAGCGACGGCTTCTAGAGTAGGAGACGGGCAGTTATAGAGCCTCAGATCCCACAACCATGACTATGTTTTTATTCTTTATTTTCTGTGTCTTCAAGTATATCTATGGTTAAAAGACTGTAGTCATATGCTGTCGATCAAGCTGTTTATTTCCCAGATGCCGCTTTTGTATGATCATGAACTAAAAAGTCACTGAAACAGCATTTCATGGTTCTGTGAAGCACTTTTCAACTTGCAAAAAGATTACATGGCTGTCTTTGAGATGAAGATTCATTAAGGAACTCTTCATGTGGGCCCAGTCAGGGTTTAGTGGACCAGGCAAGGTACAGAGTAATCACACTAGTCAAAAAAACTTGAATTTGGGGGTCAAACATGCCCTGGCATGGAACAGATCACCTAACATGGTGCTTTGCTGATTTTTACACCTTGTAGTCATGGAAGGTCATGATAGGACATGTCATAAACGCTGGATGTTACAGAACATTACTCATCATTACGATGAATGCTATGGAACATTATTATACATTGCCTGCTTTTATCTAAGTTGAATGTACGTTACACTGCATTCCCTATTCAATACGCAAGCTGGGCCTTGTAGATCTAGGGCTATCAAAGTTTGGTTTTGCTTACTGTTTACTTACTCATTTATCAGATATTAGATGAGTGCTATAGAGGCCCCAGTCTTCTCCCTGCATATCACGACTGAAACAGACACTCAGTCTCGGGGATTTTCTTCGTCTCGGCAGCAGACTGGGTGGCAAAAGCCAGCGTTGGCCTGGATGGCAGCCAATCCAAAACCAATTCTGCTCCGCCCAATCTCCTTGGTGCCACATGCGGATTAGCACGTCCTGCTTGGTGCTGTTGGTCCCGCTGTCTGATAAACCACCATGATTGCCTGCAGGAGGTCGGACTGCTACCTACAGCTTGTCACGTTTACTAGTCAGTTCACTTTGAACTGCAATTGGAATTGGTTGCTTTTCGGTTTAGCTGGGGTTGTGCTGTACTATTTGTGGGGGGGGGGGTGAATGAACCAAGCCAGGGAGATGTAGGAAAGGTAAAATGCCGAGCGCACATCATACCGAATCTGGGCCATCTGCATGGGAGCGTCTGCGTGGGCCAGTCGCAGATTCCAGTAGCTTATCCCGACGTGCAGTGACCATTGCCGGCATTCTCCTGGCAAATCTGCCAAAAGCAGATTTACATGTCCCCCCCCCGCTCTACATGTTGATAATCAGAGTAATGGAGTCTTCTCTTGAGCTGAGGAATGGCTTGATCCCGCGTAATCCTGTGTGGCTGTGTGGCGATTCAAGGAGGGCCACTGACCAGCTCAGGCTCCAGCTGCCACTCAGACTCCCGCCCATCAACCTTGTCCGAAAACCACCCTGGGTGGCACGGGAGCCTGCCAAAGACCAGCGCGCACCGTTAACTGGATCTCGTAACCGGGGCAATAAGAGCCGCCCGCACTCTTTCAGACACTGCACTTCACTGCAGCAGAGCCTATTTATAGCTCCTCTCTCTGAAGCGAAATTTCACTTTTAGCTTGTCTAAATCCTGCCTGTCCCACATTATTAATGAAGTCGGGCTGTTTTTCTAGCCAGGTGGGAATAAAGAGGCTTCCATTCGGCAGCTTGCCATCCGTCTGATCCTGCTGCTGCCTTTGATTGTGATTCAGCTAGGCTGTGACAGCATCCCCACCTCCGGGGTAACACGTACGTGTCTTAGCAAACTGAAAACTGCCGCATGTGGCCAGAGCAGGTGCTGATTGGTTGCCTCGGTGGAAAAAATAGCTTGTCTCACAGCCCCTCTACTGATCTCCTGGGGGTTTCCACCCCGCCATGACCCTCCGCCCCCCACCGCACTCTCAGCATGCAAGTAAAAGTGGTGTGATATTGCTGCAACATTGGCGGAATTTCTTTGTGAGCGCACAAGGATATCGCCAGTAGGGGGGAGGATTTTCGCTCTGGAGTGAGGAGAATTGATTGGTTAACTGACACACCTGCTGAGGCAGATGTCGCCTGCCAGGGAGGCAGTGAGGATACAAAGTCAGAGGCCAGGGGCAGCTTGTAGCAGCATGGAAAATGCCTCATTGCCATTTGATCTCCTGATGTACTGTAGGAACAAGGCTGTGATGAGTTGCTCTTCCCTAGAAATCACTACATGGCCATTTTCCAACCAATAAAACTGGAGATATTTGTACAGAAGATGGATGGAGGAATCAATGGCAGCAAGGGAAGACGTAGATGAGGGTGTTTTACTACAGTCATTTTTTAATGCTGTGTCAGGGCTCTTGAAAGGAATCTCATGTTGCCTCACACCTCCGTTGCTATTCTGAACTAGCACGTGGTTACCATGGCAACTGCCGCATGGCTCGGCATTACCATACGGACCTCCGTGGCTGCACCCCGCGTTGCTTTAAAGGGACTCTTAAAGGACATGTGGAAAACACGGGTAGTCCCCATGCCTAACATAACACCCACACACATGCACGCCCATTTATATATGTACCTATACACAAACCATGTCGCCATTAAAAAAAACCACACTGGGATCCTTTGTGGAGCAGGATGTAAAGAGGTATAATAAGACCCAATTAAAACCTTTGTAATGGACCTGCAAAGTGGTTTCAAAACACTTTTTCACAGCCTTATCGAAGAATTTACTCAAGGATCGTTTATCAAGAGGATCAAGAGACAATATGATAAAGTAACAGAAACTGCATAAGAGAGACACATCAGGTTAACTTGTATTGTAAGATATCCCCTTCCCAGTATAAAGATCCATTTTCGCTTACATACTTGGAATGACCCTTCATGCATTTGTGATCTGGGCCCAAGAAGCACTCTCTAACTTAGGATCAAACTGTAATAGTAAATGGTTACTCACACAGCAAGACTGATTAATGAATCCCCAAATTATAGATACAAATATAGATACATAGATACAAAATTAGAGATGTGCGATATATCAGAAAATGTATTAATTTTGGCAGGTACTTGTTAAAAAAATCAAGATATCGGCATCAGACTAATGTGTCATTCCTGGTTGATATTTTTGGCTGATATATAGATATTAGTCAATATTGAATGCTATCAGCACCAGAACTAAAGACACAAGTATTAAAATAATGGAGATGATTGCATTGAACAATGAGTCATTTTTTGTAGTGCAGGACGAAGGATTACGTCAGTCCATTCACCACTTACAAGAGGTCTCAAAGTACCAGCCCGCAGGTGAGATCCAGCCCGCGACATGTTTTTTAATTCATCATTACATCTGGCCCGCAGATCGATCTTTCATTTTCCATGGACTAAAAAAACGACACTGGGCTCATTCTGCTAATCCCACCACCCACCCCTGCTCAGCAAAAATTTAATGATAATAACTGGTTATTATATTCGTAATATGGGCATGAAAAATATTCTAAATGTACATAGAAGATTCCACAGCACCACAGAGAACAGGATATCTGATCATCTGACATAAGTGACCTTGCTGGGGGGAAAGGGTGAATCGTTAGCTTTTCTTTTCTTTTTTTTTTGCTTTGTTAAGAACATAGAAGTCAACCTTATTCTTTAGGCGTGTCAATCTCCATTATACATAGGCACACAACCAGAGCCTTTTAAGACGTTTGTGAGGAGGCAGTCATGGGTTGGCCTTGTGCTGAACTCACACAGCAATATGAAGGCTCAGCAGCTTTGCTTCCATGTGACTTCAGGCTTCCAGTCTCCTCTTTTAGCAGCCAGCAGTGGGGTCTGGCTGAGGTTACATGCTTTCCCTGTTGCCTCCTGCTCGGATAGGGAGCCCCTTATTGAGTTTCCTCGCTCAGTGTCGTCTGCCCCATACTGCCTCTTTTTTCAGCTCTCTGGGTCAATCAGAGAGACGCCCAGATTCCAGGCTTGTGGCCAGGTCACCTTAGGATGTGAGCAGTGGGACTAACTCAGAGGAGGCTGCCATAGCCCACTGATCCATATTTAAAAATATTTTAAAGTGTTCTGTTTCACTATTATGAATAATGTTCGACAAATGACAGTGTTGCAATGTATGACACATATCTAAAAATGAATGTCCCCATAAGGATTTAGAAAGTTACAAAATATTTTGTAAAACTTTACAAGATAATTTTAGATATTTTTCTTATGCTGGTGGACAGGGTATTATAGGTTAGGGGAGGAGGAAGAGTGAACCTAATTTAGGAATGGAAAAAGACACAGTAAAAAAGTATTTTTAAACCCTGCACTACCGGGTATTAGCTCAGCGTCACTGCGTGGTCACTGCATGGTCATCACCGGGAGGCCGGCAGAGGGGAAGCGATTGACTGTTGGGGACCCTCATCACCATCAAGCTCAGTCTCATGTCTACGTCTGAACTCAGCCTGAATCCCAGGGGTGACAGTTACAAACGCAGCCTGTCCACTCCAACACAAAAGCCACCACGCTCACAAAAGTGTGTCTGGCCATAGCATCATGTGTTAATAAATAAGTGTCTCTCTTCACCAGGAATCAAACACAGAATGAGAGAAGAGAGCCTGTGCCGACGACGGTATTCCCTGTGCCCAACGACGAGCACGCCACAGAAGATCGACCCCCGGACACTGACGCGGAACCTGTCGTACGCCGGGGAGCAGGACCTCTACCCCCTGAGCCCAGGTAAAGAGGAGCCACGGAAGTCAGCCGCGGAGAGTCTGCTCAGTCGCACTGTGCACGTTTCGCACAGGTTAAGGAGTAATACATGGGTGTTGGAGGAGCGCAGCGTGTGGCCGTAAAAAAGGAGTAAAATGAACTGTAAGCACTGCGAGCGTGATGTAGCTTAACAGCTAAGCGAGCAGGTGGCTATAGTTTAGTTATCTGACCGCCGGGGTGATTACCTGAAGGTATGGTACCCTGTAGATGAAACTGCAACTGTAGTTGTGCTTCACACTCTGGTCCGTGCACAGAGGCCCAAAGGCTCTTCTGACAGCCGCAGTTTCATTCGTTTCATTCCAAGCGTGAGGGGCATGTCACGGGACAAGCCGGGGGGGGGGGGGGCAGTTGAAGTCAGTGTGATGCATTTTGTTATGGCCCAGTCAGAAGCCTCTCCTGGGTGTTGCATCCGCCTACCCCAGTTTGCAAAGGATTCGTCACTAGGGAGGACGTGTTGACATGGGGTGTAACACCACACCCCCAAGGCCAAGCCCCGCCCACAATTTCTGCACACGCATGCGCACGCACACACACAGACACACACGCAATGCATTAGGCTGCCAGTGCTAGAGCGTTACTCTGATTAAAGAGAGTCTCTAAATACAGACCTTACTGCTTAGTGTATTTTTGTACCCGAATATAGGCTGAGGGTTGGTTTGGGCATTTTGAACCCATTTGCTGGTTTCCGCTTCTTTTCTTTTTTACTTCGTAAAAAGTAGCATTTTTCACAGTTTAGACAAGATGTGTGATGTTCCTAAGACATGCAAAATCTTTAACTGGGATTGTTTCGACATACTGCCGCAATATTGAGTTGATCATGACGCTCTCATGTGTGTGCATGTGCTCGCATGCTCCTGTGTCTCTGAACCCCTGTGGTTGTGTGGTGACAGGCAGCGACATGGAGAGGAATGGACTGGCTATGCTGAGGGACGAAGTCAGCCCTGTCCAGTCGCCAGGCAGCAAGGCAAGTATCTGATGTCATCTCCTTAGTCCGCTTGCTTGCTCCCAAGTCAGTGAGAAGTCGGCTTTCACTAGACCTGTTCCAGGCAGCCGCCGGCTCTGCACTGTTCCCAGTTCATCCAGAAATTGCATTTACGCTACTAGTGAAACTGGAGATTTCATTCATCAAGACAGTTATATATCATTATCATTGTTGTTGTTGTTTTTGTTGTTGTTGTGTTGCTGTTCTTGTTGTCATCATAGCCTTGTGAAGTTTTTAGCTACTTGTAGTGATGGGTTGCGCCCGGTTGTGCTGCGTTTTTAAACTCTGGCCCCCACATTGGACTCCATGCCCAACGATCCCACTCATGGAGCCCAGGCAGCCTTTTCCTCACTTGTGTTTCAGCGGAGACTATTTATATGCAAACACCGCTGCTGCAACATTGCAGTGCGTCACGGAAAGCCGCTGTACGCTGCAGCCACCAGGCATGGGACACTCTGGCCGGTGTACGCCAGGTCGCAGAGGCTCGTAACTGACAGCTGGTGCTGATACTCATGGTTTCTCTGCAGCTGCTGATGTCATAGAGAGAGTGCAGTGCCTCCTGAGCCCTTTGACAGACCTGCCAGTATGGCTTTGACACTTAGGGCACAGTCCGCTGATAGGGGGTGAAGGCCAACCGTAGCCGTGTCCTCGGGCCTATCACAGCAATGTGGCATACCCTCTTCATTCCCAGTCGATATCAGCTGGCTTTTCTCTCTGGCCACATCAGACCGTGACCTTAGTTTGGCTTTAGCTCCATTACAATGCTGCTGTTCTGCCGGGTTACAGTTTTTTTTTGTTTGTTTTTTGCAAGCTCTGTCTGCTTGTAGCATTCATGCAATTCAAAGCTGGAAGGGCGCTTGCTAAGCACTGTCTGCTCTGATGAGAACAATGTGCAGTGAAGAACAATTTCTGTGTGAACGCAAAGTCATATTGCCCTCAAAGTCATGACAGGCGGGCAATATGACAGCCGCTAGCACAACCCAGTATCCATTACCCCAGCCAGCCTTTCCTCTCGTTAAGCTTTGCTACAGCACTGTTAGTGAGACCAGTTTATTTACACAGTGTCCAGGCAGTCCTGATTTATGTTCTGCTTCCTTAAGTCCTTCACCTCATGATCACTGCGGGGGATGGAAGGCATTTAGAGGCTGGAGTGTATTCAAAACTTCTCACTAAGGATTGTTTCCTCAGGACAGTAACTGAGCAGGGTGGATGACTAGCGAGTTAACGGCATAGTAGTTAAGGATGTGACCTTGTAAATAAAGGGCGCTGGGTTACGGTCCTAATGTAATAGGCCTCAGCAAGGTTCTTGAACTTGAATAGTTCCCGAACATTTTCAAGATACATCAATAGATACATAAATACATTCTGAATTCACAGCATCCTTCATGTAAGGAAATGCATTTCTTGTCTTGAATTAAAATAGCCTCCTAATTTCCTTTTGTTCTTTGAATGCTCCTTGAAGATGACCTTATCAGCCCCCCCCCCCCCCACAGGCCATGTTCCCATGGAGGTGATGAGACTGCAGCTTTTTGGATGACTCCAAGTCACTCCGTTTTTTTGATGGTGCAGTAAAGGAACCATCCCCCAGTGAAATATTTTCCCCCTAGAGGGCAGTGGGCATCCGCTGGCATGGGCTGGTCTCTGCTCAGGGTGACTGAAGAAGGCTTTGTTGTGCTGTCTTCTGTCTTCAGCTGGAGGCCAGGGTATTCAATGGCCAGGAGAAGGAATGCTCCTCACCCACAGAAAAGCTGGCCAGGAAGGAATCTCTCAAAGTAGGTGGTCATTTTCCTATAGACAGCACCTAAGATATTTGTCATTTCTGTCCTTGACATATTTTATCTGTGTATTTTATCAGTTCCACCTAATTTTCAAATGTAAATAATTACAGGAAGTACACATGGTGTTACATCCTGCCCATTATATCCACCTGACCCTCCTGTCTCCCCCCAACGTGACACCCTGATCATCCACGCCTAATGCTTTTTGCCCCTTGTTTGTCTTTGTATATAAGTCCCTGTTTGTCTCATCATCCCCCTATTATATTAAAAAAACGTATCCTTAGTCTGGTCACTAACGTTGTTCCTCCTGTCTACCCATGTCCTTCCCTGTAACAGTCCTACTGTTTTGACTCCTTGCGGTCCCGGTGGTTTTCTAACCCTTTCAGTTCTGTTCAGTTTAGTTCTAATAAAACCCCCCTTTGTTCACCCAAACGCCTACCTCTTAGTCCTTCGTCCTGCGGATCATGACAGAATGCCCAGACTTCCAAAGAAACCCTACAGCCCAAACCTCGGCCCCAGGTTCCAGGCCTCCCTGCACCCTGCACAGCGGATCTCCTGGGTACCCCAAAATCGGAGACCTGATTTGAGCCACAAGGCCCTCCAGAGACACCCCGTTTTCAGGCAGAAGACTTCTCCACCCTCCTGGATACCCACCTGGAGTGGAGGAGTAATCCCGATATGTGGAGGGTGCCCAATGCCAGTGCTCGCTTCCTACATGCAGGGGAGATCCCGGCGAGGCTCATACCAGATTCGGATCCCCAAGAAGCAGAGATGGTCCGATGCTGTATGGGAGAAATGCAGTGGCTGGTCAGGTGCAAGTCGATCCCCAATCCCAACTCAGCCCGTCACCTCAACGCTGCGTGAAGCTACTCTACTCTCCTCTTCCCCACTGTGTGAAGCCTCTCCGCTTGCCTATTCCCCACAGCGTGAAGCAGCTCTGCCCGTCAGCTCCCTGCAACTTGCTGCAGATCCGCCCGCCAGCTCCACACAGCTCGCCGCAGCTCCACCCGCTGGCTCCTCCCTCCCATTTCCAGTTGCAGGAGGAAGAAGTGAAGGAAGCTAGCTGTGCCCATAGCCGCCGGGTCTTCAGAGCCCAACCCGATGACACCACTCCTGCGCCTCTGGAGCCCGTCTTTGCCTCTGCTGTGTCTCCAGAGCCTGTCTTCACCTCTGCTGTGTCTCCAGAGCCTGTCTTCACCTCTGCTGTGTCTCCAGGGCCTGTCTTCACCTCTGCTGTGCTTCCGGAGCCCATCTTCATTTCTACGCTGGCAACCCAGCGCCCAACTCCCCAGAAGATGCCTCGCTGGAGGACTTAGAGTAGGACCTTCTGGGTCTTGCCCAAGTCCCGCTCTGTGGTCTTTCACCTCAGCTCAAAGTCCATGCTGATTCGGTCATTCCTCATACAGTCAGTAGTGTTGGCCCTGAATGGGGACTGGCCGAGTCTCTGTCACCAGCAGGGGGAGTTGGGGGCACACCATCTATGCCAGCTGCCCAGATTCTCATCTGCCAAACAATGTCTGCCCAGACAATTCTCCTGCTGCGACCAGGAGGAGAGGAACCCTCATGCTCCAGCCCTGTGGGTTTCTCAGCACCCTCATGCTCCAGCCCTGCAGTCCCCTTGACACCTTCTGGCCCAGCAGTGCCCTCAGCGCCCTAATGTCCTGCTGTCCCCTCAGTGCCCTTCTTCTCCGGCCCCCTGGCCCTCCAAGGCCCTTAGGCCTTATGGTTCGGACAGGTTCTGCCTCACTGGGGAGCAGGCCCAGGAGGGTTCATGTCCCAGGTTCCCCACTCCTCGTTCCCCTCAGTCCCACCTTGGTCCCTGTCCTGCTACCAAATCTTGCCTCCATTTTGCCCTGGCCTGTGTACCCTATTTGTCCCTCCGGCGTTTCCTGATGAGCCACGCATAATACTTGTTGCCCCTCGTTAATCTTTCTAAATAAGTCCCTGTTTGTCTCATCTTTCCTAGTCCGGTCATTATCATCACTCCTCCCGTCTGTCCATGTCCTTCCCTGTACCAGTTCGATCGTTGTGACCCCTTACAGTCCCGTTTGTTTTCCTGCCCCTGTTCAGTTCTGTTCAGTTTAGTTCCAATAAAACCCCCCTTTGTTTAAACGCCTGCCTTAGTCCTTCATCCCACAGATCCTGACACATGGCATCTGTCATTTGCAATCCTTATCTAGAAGGGCTTCAGCCACCACTTTTTTCTCTTACCCCACCCTGAAAAATTCTAATTCTAAATCCATTTAGCAATTTTCTTATATTTCTTGGGAGCTGAGTCCCCCTATGAGTCAAATCCTAGAATTGCCCCTGGCATCTGGTCACATTTAGTGCGTCGTTTAGGACTGTACATGTCTTGACTATGCTGCCCTCTAGTGGGCGACTGTTTTAGAAGGGTATGCAATGAGGATAGGAGAATATTTCAGAAATGTCCTTTTCTGTCTCTTTCAAAGGTCCAAAAAAAGAATTATCGACAGGAGAAGAAAAGGGCAACCAGAGAACTATTCAGCGCACTCAAGGACCCTAGTGTGGTCATTATGTCCAACTGGCTAAAGGTGTGCAAGCTACTGTGGAAAAGAAACATTGCTCCAACCATCAATCCATCTCAAAAAAACGTATCCAGTACAGAGTAGTGGGGGGCCTGGAGCCTATCCCAGGCAGCATAGAGCACAAAGGAACACCTTGGATGAGATACCAGTGCATTTCTCATTTCCTGTCAAATTCGTCTTTTTACCGTTTTCCAAAACATTAGCCTTGCTGTGGAAAAAAGTCATGCTGAAATGGGCTGAAAATGCCATCAGACGTGCCAGAGGAAATGCACTAACAGAGAAGTTTCTTCGCCAGATCCGGGGCACCCTGAAGAGTTGGACCAAGTTGTGGTGTGTCCTAAAGCCTGGGGTTCTCCTTATTTACAAAACTCACAAGGTGGAGCACTGGGTGGGAACTGTCCTGCTCAATGCCTGCAAGCTCATCGAGAGGCCTTCGAAGAAGGATGGCTTCTGCTTCAAACTTTACCACCCACTGGACAAGTCCATATGGGCCATGAAGGTGAGGCCTGTTGTTCACTTGCTGGTCTCTTGCTTTGTCCCTTCTTTGCCCTGCACCCATCTGCATAACACAGATCATTTTGTCTCCATAACATTAGGGCAGGCTGGCTCTAATTTGCCCCCTTGTTGGTGTTTCAGGGTCCTAAAGGAGAGAATGTGGGATCCATCACACAGCCCCTGCCAAGCAGCTACCTAATCTTCAGGGCAGCTTCCGAGTCAGACGGTGAGCTTGTCATGCTCTTGCAAGACCGTAGACCTGAGCTGTTTCTGGGGTTTGCATGTTTATGAAGTGTGTGTAGATCATTTGTGTAAGTATGTGTGTGTGTCTGATTCACATGTGCCTGGGTGCAGGTGTGTTCACACATGGTTATGTGCTCCAATGACCCATGTCTGTGTGTCCAGGCCGCTGTTGGATGGACGCCTTGGAACTGGCTCTCAGCTGCTCCAGTCTCTACAAGCTCACCTCCAGGGTCGGGCGAGATGGAGACCTGAACACATCCCCTGAGTCATCCCACATTCTCCACCTCCTGCAGTCTTCCCCCCTGACTGACCAAGACCTCCTTCAGTGAGTATTCTCCTCTACACCTACTGTTGATTTACCCACAATGCCCACAATGACAAACAGCAGCAGTACTTTCATTCCTGGCTGTTTTGATGTACTCGCGCCTGTTTGCTGACATGGTCACAGGCCAATAGGACGAGGGAGGTCGCAAACATGCCTGAATAATGCATTTAAGTACATGATGGTGTGAGGCAACAATGCTAGCCACTGCTCACTATTTAATTATAAATGAATTCATTTGCATAAGCAAAAGGGGACAAACAAGAATGACTTAATTCTAGTTGACTTTTCCAGTTTATTCTTTCTGACTTTAGTTCTACAAGTTTTTAGCAATATTGATGCAATTACTGTCATTATTATTAACCCAGAAATTCCCCCTGGGATAAATGAAGTCTATCTTAATCTTAATCTTAATTTTACATAGTACTAGGTAGGAATCCCTTCCAAAACCACTTAAAGGGTTGACAAGTTCTGCAGAAGCCTTTCTGTACATCACTGTTGTACTGAGCTGGTATTTTTGGCCTTTATAGCTTTAATGAGTCTGGTCATTCTCCTCTGACCACTTTCATTAAGGTGTTTTCAGCCGCAGAACTGTTCCTGAATGGATATTTTTTGTTTATCACGCCATCCTCTGCAAACACCGTAGTGTGTGAAAATCCCAGTAAGGTGGCTGTTTCTGAAATGCTGGAATCTCCACATATGGCACCAATAATCATGGCATTTTCAGAATTGCTTAAATCACATGTTATGTATTGATGAAAAAGCATCAGATTACATAAGACAAAAGGTTTTATTCACATACTGTAATTTTAGTCCAAAATCATGTTTCGAAGCAGCATGTTATAGAACAGCTAAAGACAGTATTGTGAAAACCAAATCCAAATCTTACTCTCAAAATCAGCAGACTAATCAAAGGCAGTTGATCATAAATGCAGTCAGTGCAATACAGAGAAAGTCACCAAATATTAAATTGGCAGGATGTAGGAGTACCAACATGGCGTAACTTTCCTAATGCTTAGCCACACTGTAAGTGAACCTCCTGACCTTGTCTGCATGCTATATTTATATGCTATATATAGCATGCTATATATATATTCAGCTGCAGCTAGATGATTGGCTGTCTGTAGGTGCAGGCTGTTTGCGTTAACAGGCTGGTGTATCTAATAAAATAACCACTGCATGTATAACGTTTATGAAAAAGTATCAACATTTTTTGTAAAAATACATTAATTATCGTAATCAATGAAATTGCAGAATCAGCACCAAATAATTATCCATTCTTTCCTGTTAAGCTTGACAAATAAAAATATTTGGCAATAATAATAATTTCACATTAACATGGGAAATAAAATGTTTACATATATTGCAATGAATAGAGGCAGTTATGATTAAGAGAGAATTCAGATACGTGTATAATTTCCTACAGGCTTTATAAATCCAGACAGCCAGAAAAAATGGGCAAGCTGGGTCAGAGCAGACGTTCATGGTCCCGCAGTAGCTGCCTGTAACGTGTCCTCATTTTCAGTGATGGTCTCTTGTTGAGTGAGATCCTTACCTACCTGAAGCTGCATCAGAGAAAGCACTCCACATTCAGAGCGAGCCCTCAAAGGCTGGAGATCAGTCTTACGTTTGATGAGTAAACTTGAGCGCCTGTCATTCTGCATTGTGTGCGTGCGTGTAGGTGTGTGCGCAGGCGCGCGCATTTGAATACTCCAATCCACGCCTGTTTTTCCAGATGGCACATGATTGTGTTTGTGTGGGTGTGTCGCTGCATGCGTTTGCGCGCATGTGCACGCTGCTTCCCAAGTCAACAGCATCTACTGGCTCTCAGTCAGCACTGTGCCGCTCCTCCAGATATCTCCAGCCAGTCAGCTCAGGCACAGTGGGTCATGTGACATGTGAAGGAGCAGGAAGAGCCATGGAGAATATGAGCCTTATACAAGCCTGACAGAGTCATCAGTAACAAAGCTTGGTGCACACAGGAAGCAGCCCAGGGTGGGGGAGACAGGGGAAATCAGATCCGTCTGCTTGTGTCTTCAGCACGTATTGTCTGCAGCTCAGGATCTAGCAGTGATTCAGAAAGACGGGAGTCCCAGCCTGATCCTGGTTTTATGAAAGGCTTTGTTTTAAAGCGAGGTACAGGGGAGCTGCTATCAAGGTAAGCATGCAGGAGCATCGCCTGCCCGTTGCCTCAGACGCAGAGGATGCGAGACGTGCCCATTTATTACCTCCGAAACACGGCGAGAGAGGTGGAGCGGTGAAGTGAGACTCGTGCTGTTAGGAGAGGCCTGCACGGGGGACAGAGAGGGTCACCGCTACAGTGCAGAATTTCAGCTTGATCTGCTGAAGGATTACAGGATTCTCCCTATTATTATTATTATTATTTTTTCTATAAAAAGAATTAATACTTATCAGAGAATTGATCACAGTACATATCTGAGGAGTCGTTTGGCAGGTTTTGCATGGGACAGACACTAAGCTTCATGCCCCAGTGACAGCGACCGTGACATTCAGAAGCTTCCAAGGGGAGGATAGTGGCTGTTACCAGGGCAACGGGGCTTGTTTGGTTTTTATCATGCAAACAGATTGAGGTTACTGCTGATACTCCATAGCCATTAACGCAGTGAGACTAATTACAAGTGTTCTGGAACATTAATTACTAAAAACACCAGGTAGGGAAAAGCCAAGCTAAGTACTAAGTCAAGCTCTTCTTTTGTTTACTAGTTAGACTGTTGTTGAGGTAATTTTTTAAGTCATTGATCTGTAACGGTGTTGTAATTTGATTCTGTTGTCATTCTTGATGTAATCGGTTTTTTAAATAATAATAGGATGGTAAGATGACTTGCACTTTTATAACAAAGCAATCGAGTGATATTTTTGGCCTTAATTTATACCCATATGGTTGGTTTGCATGTGTCTTTTGTGTTTTTTTAAAGGTTGAATGAGTCCATGTTAGAAAACCACCACATGGAGAATGACGGCTATTCTGACAAATCAGAGCGGGAAGCCCACGAGGAGTCAGACACCGGGGCTAATGAAAACGGTGGGCGGCTCACCGAAGAAAGTGATATGGACCAATCAGATGACCTTTCCCCTTGCCCGCTGGCTACTGCCTATGTTGAACAAGGCCAAGAAGAGATGGGGGAGGTAAGTCGAGCTCTTAGAGAGTGCTCTCAGAGGTCAATCCAAGCACTTACTTAAAGAACATTTAATGTAAAAACAATATAAAGGTGCTGCATCATAAATGATAACAAACTAATCCATGTTTCAAGCACCATAAATAAGCTGGTCTCTTCTATGGCGCCTCATCATGGTGCTGGTGTAAATTCGGGCTGCATCACGTACTAAACCCTGTTCCTTGCAGGCCGGAGAGGCCTCCCAGGTGGAGACCGTCTCAGAGGAGAACAAAAGTCTCATCTGGACTCTGCTTAAGCAGCTGCGTCCCGGGATGGACTTGTCCAAGGTGGTCCTGCCCACCTTCATCCTAGAGCCACGCTCCTTCTTGGACAAGCTTTCCGACTATTACTACCATGCCGACTTCCTGTCCCAGTAAGCTGGCGGCCTCTTGGCCCTCCTCGTTCCACCACATGCCCTGTGACTTGCTATATGTTTTTGAGCCTTACAGCCTCATTCCCCCCCTACACATAGAGCGATAACTGAGGAGAGTCCTTACTGCCGGATGAAACAGGTTCTGCGATGGTACCTGTCAGGCTTTTACAAGAAACCCAAGGTAAGAGATGCCCCCCCCATATTCCGCCCGCTTTCTGCCTATAAGTGCACCGAGCCACTGTAGCCCAACAGAATATCAGCACCAAGGAAGATCTGACATTATCTTGTAAACCATGCTATCTTTCTGGGGCATTGCCGTCAGGTTTTTTGTATACCGCTGACCCAGTATGATGCTTTCGGCACTGGGATTCTGCCAGGTAATTAGAGCTTCGGAACAGGCCAGGAAAAGCAGGTGACCTGTGGCTTACAAAGCTGAGCTTTTTCCACGGCCGCCTGTGCCGCTCTCACACACGACTGTGCAGGACACACATGAATGGGCAGGAGGTGCCGTCAGGTGTCAGGTGACAGGAACTGTTCGTACAGGTTATGTAGCCTAATGGCTGGGCATGGACGAGTTAAAATGTCACTCGCTGCTGTCCGTCCAACATGTTGCATGTGGATTAGTCCCTCCCCCCACCCTCAGTGTCATGTACCCTGTGTGGCTGCAGGGGCTGAAAAAACCGTACAACCCCATCCTCGGTGAAACCTTTCGGTGCTGCTGGCTTCACCCCCGGACTGATAGCTGTACTTTTTACATAGCAGAACAGGTGAGTCACATCCCTCCTGTATCCCCTTTGTAATCTGTACCCATAATCTCTCTACAGTAATTTGTACCTCATCTGTAACCTGTACCCATAATAATTCATCTTTCAAATGTAACCTGTACCTTATGTAATCTGTACCAATAACCTGTCAGCTATAATTTGTACATTGTCTGTTATTCTATATAGATAATCTCTCGACTGTAATCTGTAATCTGTCTGTAATCTGTACCCATTATTTCTACTCCCTTAAGCATAATCTGTATCTTGTCTGCAATCTGCATCCATAGTCTCTCAGCTGTGATCTGTACCCATACCCCAGAATATTTTTGTATTAACTTTGTATTAATCTTGCTGACTGATGAAATCACTCTTTACACATAGCCTTATATTATTTTTCTTGTTGCAGGTATCACATCACCCACCAATATCTGCCTTTTACGTTTCCAACAAGAAAGATGGCTTTTGCATAAATGGCAGCATCCTTGCCAAATCCAAGTTCTATGGTACACATTCCAGTTCACCTGCCTCCTCTGTCCTAGGCCAATTCTTTTTCCAGCAGGACTCACGATTGATTGTTTCTGTTTGCTCTCTGCAGGAAACTCACTGTCTGCTATTCTGGATGGGAAGGCCAGACTGCTGTTTCTGGCTCGGAATGAGGAGTATGTCATCACAATGCCATATGCCCACTGTAAAGGTACACTCACCTCGCTATTTCCCCCTGTACTTTTAGATACAATGGAAAATGCATTTTTCTTCTAATGCTGCTTTTCCCATTCACCTGTAACAATTGAAATATTACTGGTCATCCACAGGCATTCTGTATGGTACAATGACCCTGGAACTTGGAGGGAAGATCACCATCATTTGTGAAAAAACGAAGCTTGCAACTGAGCTGGAGTTTAAACTGAAGGTGCTGTGTTGTCCTTGGCACCAGCATCGATGAACCTTATTGGGCCTAAAGAGGCCTCTGGTTTGGCTGACTCTCATTTACCATGGTGCTTCTCCCGTAGCCTTTCCTTGGTAGCTCCTGCAGCGTGAACCAGATTTTTGGAAAGATACGCTTGGGAGATGACGTGCTTGCCACCGTCGATGGACACTGGGTGAGTTGGCCCTTCCTATTCAGAGTCACATGCAGAGAATGAGGGACAGCATCGTCTCTCACTGTGTCCACTGTGTCTCACTGTGGTGAGTGGACTGGTAAATGGACTGCATTTATATAGCGCTTTTTACCAAAGCGCTTTACAGTTATGCCTCACATTCACCCATTCACAGCACACATTCACACACCGGTGGCGGAGGCTGCCATGCAAGGTGCCAACCAGCTCACCGGGAGCAATTTGGGGTTCAGTGTCTTGCTCAAGGACACTTCGATGGGGTCAGGAGGACCCGGGGCTCGAACTATGAAACTATGAAAGTGAACTATGAAATACAGAGACTATCCATGAAATATATAGCTACCACTACTGTGATCTCCATCTGCATTTGTATTAAGAGCTGTTGAGAGTTGGAACTGCAGAGCAGGAATGGAATTCATGTCACTTTGGCTATTTAGCTCCTGCACTGGACATATATAGATGCCTGAAGTAACAAAATCCGGACTAAACTGACTAAGATCAAGTTAGTTAATTAAAAGTATCTTGCTTGGATTTGCCTGAAGTCTCTCTGCCACCTGTTAGCTTTTTTATTGTGTCACTGAGGTGACATTAACAGAGATTCGATGCCAAACTGCGCAGTGATGACGGGTAGTGGCCGCACCCACAGGATGGTGAGGTGTTCATTCATGAGAAGAAGACGGGTCATCAGGAGATGCTGTGGAACCCGACTCTGGATGTGCGGCAGCGCAGGTTGAAGAGGCAGGTGGTGCGGCTGGACCAGCAGGGGATGTTTGAGTCTGAAAGGTACAGCTTTTACCCCAGATTAGGGCTGGGCGATATCGCATCAATATCATATCTTGCATACGCAATAATCACCGGGGCTCCAAATGACGGGCTGGACATTTGGCTGAACACCAGCTTTTCAGTACTATACGAATGTTTACTTACGTCGACAACTTGGTAAGCAGATTAGTAGAATGGCTAAAATATTAATGAGGCATTTTATGACGTCCAAAAAGTTAGTGAGTATAAATTCAGCATATCCTTATGTTTAATAAACGTGTGACACTTTAAACTGCAAAAAGTTCCAGCACACCACTGACGTCTTTTTACCTTGTTTATCCACAAGATCTCCTCTTTTAAAGGTTGTCGTGGCTGCTGAGCTGTACCTTTCTTCACTGGCACTTCAGTGCATATCGCATATTGCACTGACGTACACCAAACCATAGTGTATCAGAATAGTATTATGTGGTGTATCTCGCTACAGTGCATACTACACTGAAGTATACCAAACCATAGTGTATCAGAACAGTATTATGTGGTGTGCCCCCGTTACAGTGCATACTGCATTGACGTACACCAAACCATAGTGTATCAGAACAGCATTATGTGGTGTGCCCCCGTTACAGTGCATACTGCACTGAAGTATACCAAACCATAGTGTATCAGAACAGTATTATGTGGTGTGCCCCCGTTACAGTTCATACTGCACTGAAGTATACCAAACCATAGTGTATCAGAACAGTATTATGTGGTGTGCCCCCGTTACAGTGCATACTGCACTGAAGTATACCAAACCATAGTGTATCAGAACAGTATT